AAGTTTAATATCTCACTGCTTCTAGTCTTGGTAATGTGAAAAATAGAACCTAAATCAACGACAAAAATTGGCGAAATTATTCAATGTAGAACAGCCTCTCAAGCTTCCGCTATCATTTCCTTGGTTCTCTTTTCATATTCAATGTAACAAAGTGATTGCACTAATTTCCTGAAAAAAAAAAAGAAAAGGAAAAAAGATTGCACCTGTTGGAATAGGCCCAACAGGGCCCAACGCTCAAACAGGGTTGTGCATAACGGGCCTAGGTTACCACCTATTAGCCCAAGCTGAGGGCGCATCAATACAAGCATACCCATGTGATCAGCGCCACGCGGGTCGAGGGGATGCTTACACGTGCAGATGTATGTCAGCACCCAGGGGCTATAAATACCCCCTAACTACCTCCGATGAAGGTAATTAATCTCTACGCTTCTCTCTCTGCAATTACTCCTTGAGAGTATCTCTCTCTAGAATACTGAGTATTGCTGACTTGAGCGTCGGAGTGTTTTCCCCGAGGAAACAACTTCGGGATTTTCAGGTGTAAAAGCAGCTGAGGACTTCAACAGTGTTGGACTGCGAAGCTGCCGAAACATTGGCGCCGTCTGTGGGAACACATACAAGGAGTCGTGTAGCTTTACTTGCTGAAAGATAATATGGTTTGTACCTTTACTGGAGGTCGCCCTCCAAGGAATGAAATGGACGAACAGGAAGACACTCACGTGTCCGAGCCCGGCTTGAACGACTTTAGGCCAATGCCAAGAAACCTTTTTGTAGGAGGTGCCGAACAGGATCACCTAAGTGAGACAGATGATGAAAGAACACCGACTGGGTATGCAACCCAGCCTGAACAGTTCCAAGTTCCAACAAGAACAAGACAAAGATCTGCCAGACCGTACAACTCACAGCGTGAACGACCTGAAAGGTCAACAGAACCTGCTCGGACAACCGAGCTCGAAGAGAGAACTAGAGTTCTCGAAATGGCGATGGGTAAAATCCTTACCCGTTTAATTCCTGATGACCCCTTGATTCCCTTGCTGAACAGAGATGCACAAGCAGCTGCGGTTGTCGCAACTCGAAACTCCCCTACTCTAAGCAACGTAGTGGTGCCGACTAGGCCAAGGGGAAGTGGGAAGTTGAATAACGAGCCCAGCTCATCCAAGCATAGTGAAGAATTGATGAGAAAAAACGCAAACCTTCAAAGGCAGCTGCGGGATGTACAGAAGTCCATTGACGAGCTGAAAAGTCCCAGGTCGCATCAACAGACTCTGGATTTGGATAGTGCGCCACTAAACTTATCCATTACGGCAGAGCCGTATCAAGAGGGATTCAAAATTCCCCACCTGGAGACATATGATGGCTCAGGTGACCCTGATGAACATCTGCACACCTATCAAGCCATCATGAGAATCCAAAACGCCAATGATGCTATGATGTGCAAAGTGTTCCCAACGACACTCAAGTCAACAGCTAGGAGATGGTATCACAAACTCCCCAGACATTCAATAGAGTCATTCTCCCAGCTCGCCAAGTTATTTTCTAACAAATTTTCGAGCCAGAGGGAGATCAAGCGCACAGCAACCGAGCTGATGCAAGTTAACCAGAAGGAAGGGGAGTCGTAGAGGGATTATATGCAACGGTTCAACAAAGCCACCTTAGACATTGATAACGTCCCAGACACGATCTGCCTGTCCGCCTTGTTACATGGGTTGAAGCGTGGCCGATTTCTAGACGACCTGCTTGAAAACCCACCAAAGACGTGGAATGAGGTGAATGACAGATCGGCCAGCTTCATACTATCAGAGGACTTTCAGTCATCCAAGCGACGAGCTGATGATAAGCCGGGTAAAGGCCAGGAACAACAACCGAGAAGAGAAGAGAAGAAGAAGCAGAAGGTCAGTGAGCAATGGGGGAAGCCAGCTGAGTTCCCGAAGTATGCCAATTACATTCCTTTGACCTTACCTAGGTCCCAAATCCTGGTACAAATCTAGCACTGGGTTAGGAGACCTCCGCCCCCACTGCATGATTCCCCGAGGGCAGACAAGAGCAAGCATTGTGACTACCATCGTGTGTATGGTCACAATACAGAGGATTGTCAACACTTGAAAGATGAGTTGGAGTTTTTGGCTCGAAATGGGAAGCTAGAAGGATATGTTCAAAAGCCTCACACCCAGCAACCCGCTCAAACCCATTTTGTACAGGCGTACGATCGACCTTAAGGGCAGAGGTACCAGCTCGGCGGCACGCAGGATGTATATCAGGATAACCAGTACCCTTCTGAGCAGGGCAGAGCATACCGAGGATGTCCGTTCAATAGGAGAGGACAGGGACCGAGAACTACTGCCCCGAATCAAAAAGACAAGAAAGGGGTAGGTTATGCTGGAATACCCCCACCCTCTGGTACCATAAACATGATATCAGGTGGTGTTCACTCCGGGGGCCAAAGCGCCAGAGGTCGCAAGGCGTATACACGCCAGGTGATGACAGTTAATAAAAACAGGCCTTTGAAACGCCCGTTTGAAGAAGTAGAATGGGAAAATGCACCCATCACATTCAGCCTGGCAAACTACAAACGAGCAGAAGGAGAGCCTGACGTTATGATGCCGCATGCAGATCCTTTTGTGACAACGGTCCATATAGGCAACCATAATGTCAACAAAGTCTTTGTGGATACGGGTAGCTCGCCGGATATCCTGTATTGGAGTTGTTTTCAGAAAATGCAGCTGAATC